AACGTTGACTAGCTCTCCTCCGGCCAGTTATAACAGAGATTTGTTGTTCACAATGAAGCACTATCAGGGAAACAATAGGCTGCATCCCGTAATGCGCCGATGGTGAGTCTACCTCGTCCTTTCGTCCCCAAGACTGCTCTTGTAGGATCTCTGTTCCTCCCAAACATATTTTCTATTGTCCCCGGAACAACAGGACGGCTGCCACAAGCCATCTCGTCCAGTTTGATTGACAGCTTTCACATCAGCCCCAATTACTGCCATTTCATTTTAACCAAACCAAACTGGTTATTAAGGCAATATTATCACCAGAAAGACCTTTGGTATCTTTTTGTGAAATCAGAAGTAATTTCCTCAATTACAAACAGTTCTATCACCAAATGATGTACTGTACTGAAGAAATGTGACCTTGCACCCACACTTGCTTTAACCCTAACATTAAAAAACAAAATTCAAAAAAAGAGTGGAAACTGAACTAAAGGGAGACAGAGAAGCCAGCCACACATCCAGTTTTATATGTCACTGCCATGACAGTTTCCACACAAAGGAAATCCTCCATGCTGAGAAATACTTTTCATTCGGCACTATCGACGAGGAGCTGGGGGTCTCCTGCTGCTGACAAAGAGCTGAGGCAGGGGTCTGTTGGTGGCTCCGACTCAGCCTGGAGACTTTATGAAAGCACAGTTTTATAACAGGAGTGTGGAGCTCAGTGGTATTCTAACGGGAGACAAGGAACTCCCAGAGGGTCTTAATAGAGTCCCAGTCTGCAAAGTGACATACAGTTTAATGTCACTAGAAGTTACCTCCATGCACTATATTCATCTTAAAGGTAAACGACCGACCATGTGCTACATCCACACGGGATTAGATTTACAAGAGGAAACCTGGTACCAGAATGTTTCACTGATAATTTAATCCTGTGTAGTGCTGAACTATTAATCTTTTTTAGTCGTACAAAAACAAGAGAGCAAACATAACATTGTTATTTGATACAAGTAGAGCTACTGCCTAGTGGTTGTATGCCTCCATGAACCTGTCAAGTTGCAGTTACTGTTTACATCGGTCTGTCCAGACTTGTGTAGCCATAACAGTGGACAAATGCATGTTTCTGCAAAAAAAGCTAAATATTCTAAAACATGGATGCTTCACACACATCTTCACCCCCTCAGCACAGAAGATCTAAGTAAGTTAGCAAACAGTATTACATTTTTTTGGTGGGCGGAGCTTAGCTGGAGGCAAAACAATTCTCCTCAGACATTAGCCAGCGCTAGCTAGCAAGTTCTGTTGGGTTGCTTATAGACAATGGAGGAAGATGATGCAAGTGGTGCACTCAGAAATACTGATTCTGATTGCCAGAACACACTCTGGCACAAACTTGTACTGTTCATAAATTCGGAGGACTGTCAGAATGTCTTGTTCGGTTATCCAGAGCACCGCACTCTCAGAGTGGCAGAGAACACTCTGGACACACTCTCTGGGGAGACGGCGCAGCAGAGTGCAGAGCGAGTGAATGTGTGATTAACCTCACTGTCTGTTAAGTTTTGAGCCATGACTCCTTCTATTCTGGCTCCCAATAACACAAGAAGACGACATTTTAAGACTCCTGTGTAGCCTACAGCCCTGTGGTAGCAAGTAGGTTTTGCCTCCAGCTAACAAACTGATATCATGGTGACGACGGCCTTAAAAGTTTCTATACAATCAGCACAGTTTCAATGTGGACACCCAAGATTGGTGTCGCCAATTCAGTATCTGACCAAATGTCTCCCCTTCTGTTCCTGAGTTATGCTGTTGAATAATGGCCAGAAAAGTGTTTTTGCAGAACATTATGATGTCACGGTGAAATAATGTCATAATTAGCATATGATTTTTTTTAATTATGGCCAAAAATGGGTTTTGTGAAGTCACAGTCACCTTTGACGTTTGACCACCAAATTCAGATCACTTCATCCTTGAGTCCAAGTGGAACACTGTGCTAAATGTGAACAAATTCCTTCAAGGCGACAAGGAGATATCGCATTCATGACAATAGGCCGTCCATATGTTTGTACGTATGGCCAGCATTGCAGACAGATGGATGTACAGACTGACGGACAACCCGAAAACATAATGCCTCCAGCCACAGCTGCCTCTGGCCACGACTGCCGCCAGCCCAGAGGCATAAATATATCCATTATGGTTGCTTAAAGTAAGATAATGTTTGTTTGTTGTTTTGTAATTACTTCAATCAAACCTTTTAATTCTCTCCCTCTGTATCACTGCCTTAATTAACACATCTTTATCCTGCCATCTCAAGTCCAGGAGTATTCTCTTATATATCACCTCCAGAACAAATACTGACAAACTTAACACTTTGCTTGTGATGGCACTGATTCAGAAAACTGACAGTTTAACAGTTGCACTCATTATCATTCACTCTGTATAACAGCATGAGCTAAGTGCGTAAAATGTTAATGGAAATATAGATGTAGTCTCCCCTACAGCTTTTTACATAATGGGGTGGCACACAGCTTTTCTCTTGAGACCTCTCGCCCTGAGAGAATGAACAGCAGAGAGCTGAAGGCGTGGAGCTACAAGCAAATAAAGCAGTCCAGAGATTCAGTCTTCAAACACACAGAGGCTTCAAAAGCAATCTGGTCCCTTCTTTAGCCTTGAGAGAAAAGAGATGAGCGGTGGGGGTGGAGACATTTCTGTGGGCACACTAATGGCTGCAAGGGCAAAATCCTCAGTCAGACATTCAGTGTGACCAACCTGGCAGGTGGAACCCTCAATATGATGTTCCCTCAATTTTATTAAAAGTGATAAAACATGTAGTAGTAACTCTATGTATTTTCTTTATCAACTTTGGACTGTAATGATTTGTGTATTCATGCCAAACCATCATGGTACAGGGCAGTGGTGCTCCACTTTTGTAAAGATGAACAACACTTCTTCACTTCCTTCCACTATACAAAAAAGAAGCCAAATATCCCAAATCAGCCACTGCCATCTTGTGCTAGTGATGTCATTTGGAGATAGGCTCTGCAGAGTGATTTCTGTGGAATCAAGGTTCCACTGACCTACTAATCACAAGCAGCGGTACTGATCGCAAGCACACCGATTGGCACAAAAAGCTGTCAATCACAATGTCAAACCAATTTTTTATAGCAAATAAGCAGTTATGATCAAACATCAGGAAAAAACCCATGCTGAACATACATCAGCATTATAAGGACTACCTAAAATGACAGATACCAACAGTCAACCAAAAGTTTACTTGATGTGTACTTTAAATTTCAGTTTGGCCCATGTTCCATCCATTAACACGGAGAGAGTGGGGCTTAAGAGCTATACTGCAGCCAGCCACCAGGGAGCTATCTAGATGTTTTAGCTTCACTTCTGGGGAGTCGCTGGTCCTGTCGTCCTCCTTTATTACACAGTCTATGATGGAAACACTTTGAGCATGACACACATTCAACAGCACAACCCAGATGTGCCGATGACCGGGACGAGGGAAAAAATCAACCACTATTTTGTAGTTTCATATTGTAAGAGATGCTTATCAGTTTTACAGTGATAAGCATAGTATAGTGACCTTTCGCCTTTTGGGAAAGTGTTTGTTCAGTGTCCATACAGTGTAATACAGAAGTGCTTGTAAACTTCCATATTTTTGTAATGAAAATAGTTTACTACAGTTACCAGTGGGCAAAATAGTTCCTCAGTCCCCAGCAAGAGGATTTTGTCTGTCTTTGACACTTGCACTACCGTCTGTTCAAAATAAATGAAAAGAAACGGATCCTCAGGCACTTGAGGTTCTTTTCTGCTGTACTAAGCTCACACCGAACCATGACTCCTGTATACTGTTACAACCCTAGTGGCTACACAATGGATGTTCAGTCAAACAGAACACACAATACACAGAGCGATAAGGACCATGCCCAAGAAGACTGAGTTTCAGAACAGCTACCTGCAAGCATGAGTGCATTTAGACCAACAACACATTGACAACCCAGGCGGTTCACAGCAACACAGTTTAGTGACGCATCAACTAGTGAGCAGTAACACACTGGTTTATATATAGAGTATATACATATGTAATGGTGATGACACTTCTTGTTTGGAAATAGCCTTACTGCTGTTTTGTTGGAGACCCTGGATCCAACTCAGCGCAAGGCTATTTTGCATTGTCAATATCTCCAGCGAACAGTGGGTTCAGCTATTTTTTCTCTTCAACTTGGCCCTCAAAAATGCAGTGTTGATAAAATTCTCTTTTTTGGCATCACCCGCCTCAGGAGGCTCTCTTGAGGAGGAGGAGAAAAACAGGCGCAAGTGAGCATGACCGACCCTGCTGAGTGGGAGGGAAGCTCAGCGGGAGGGGTGAAGGGGGGAAAATCATCTGTATCCTTTTCCTATTTTACACATTTCCATTTCCAAGGACCCCTTGTGGCTTGACACTCAGCTCTGCCTTTCACGGGAAGCAGGCTGGCCAAATGCAGCTTTCACTTGGCCTGTGACTCAGATGGTTGAAAAAGCTACTGAGAGACGTTTGAATACATGGCAGACAGGAAACTGGTGGGACGCAGTATTGATTATGGATGAACAGAAGAGGCTGTGGCAACCGGTCAATAGGGCAAACTGTTTGCACCTGAAGCCTGGCACAAAGGCTGACTGTCTAAGAGCAAAAAGGTGAAATAAAACAGTGTATGAGAGGGATAGAAAGGGAGATGGTGGGGGAGAAATAAACAGAGACAGAACTAGTGAGAGCACGAGAGAGAGTCATGATCCTAATATGGTTCAAATGCGAAACTGATGTTTATATGAACTGTAAATATGGTTGCTGGTAGACAGCAATGTCAAAAAGTGAACGACCTGAGCAGCAAAACACACACAGACAGGGAGAAAACAATCATGAGGCAGTGGAGGGATCAATGCTGTCACTGAGCCAAAAGAGAAAGAGCCAGAAAAAGAAGAAGAGGAGAATGATGGGGATGCATGAGCAGGTGTGGTGAAGCAGTGAGGGTGTTTACCTGGAAGGCCTGCCAGAGCTGATCAGCCAGGGTGCTGATTTGAGAGAGGATGTGACGAATGAGAAAGGACTTTGACATGCTGCTGCTCCCCAGCGTGATCAGGTACTCCATCAGCTTCTCTGCAGCCTGGAGCTGAGGTTTGGGGAAAAACAAGAGTTAACTTAGGGACATTCCCTGTAACTTTCTTTTAATAACCTTTAGAACTTTAATAACATTAAAGGAACAAAATCTGTAAATCAACTGATTCTAATTTTACTACAATAAAGGAAAAATACAATAAAGGAAACAGGGTTCTGCATGCATCTTCCAGCAGCACGCGGCTAAGTAAGGTGCCCCTCAGCTTAAGGATAGAGTGTCAAAGTGACTCTGATGAAGACACAGTGGTGTTGCAACATTGTGTGTTTGCATTAATAAAGGTTGTAAATTGATCTGTGTGCTCCAGTCATTTCTTCTCTCTTGGTTGTTACAATAAATATGTGCTGACAATTCATGCCATACTGATTAATGACATCACAGAGCTGTACACTGCATGTATGAAAGACTAAGGGCAGTGACTCCGATTGCTTTCATTATCAATTATTTTCTCGATTAATGAATTTATCTACTATTAGATACATCTACTGGAGATGCTAACACCCTCTGTCACACTCTCTTGACTGTAGCTTTCAGCCAAGAGAAGATGTCCTCAGGTTGCGACCAAATTTCCGAGGACGTTTCAACAACTTCCTCCAGTTAGTGGGTCGGTAGTGATGGCCAGTCACTGCCCATCTCTTCCTGGCTTCCAGCTCAACCCCTTCCCGTCTGTTCTAGAGCCACCACTTCCCCCAACCTGCTAGCAGCTGTCCTCCTTTCCCTCCCTGCTATTTCCAGAGCCGTAAGTGTATTCCACGCAAATTGTGTGACAAACCTCTGCAGCCAACTTCAACTGGAAATAGCCAGGCTTGTCACCCTTTGTTCCTGCATTGTCAGACCTGGTCCTGATACTTGGTGGCTTTCCTCTGTGAGGCCTCTTTCCACGGATCCGTCAGTTTCACCAGGATGATTTTCTTATGCCACCTCAGCCCATATGACCACATTAGGTCTCAGGGGTGTTTGGACAGTCTGGGTAAAATCAGTTTCCTTCCGAGGTTCACCCTCATCTCCCATGATTGTGCTATCTGCAGGAAGCTCATCTTGGTCTTCTTGGTGGCAGCTGATAAACTGGATGGATTAAACTGGTCTTATGTGGGTCTGGTGCTTTCTCTATCTCTCCTGCTCCAAGATGTCAACCAGTGCTCTGAGGATCTTGTCATTATACCATCTGTATCTCCCCTTGCTAAGGGCAGTCTTGCACCCCACCAGTATGTGCACCAATGTGCCGCTCCTACCACAAAACTTGCACAGTGGGTCCTCCCTCATTCGCCACCTGTGCAGGTGGTAAAAACTTAAAAGACGATTTACCACGTGGGCTGCTAGCATAGACTGTAAAAAATAATGGATGTCGCTACTGTGACGTCATCCATTGCTTCATTGGCTCCAGTTTTCGGCATTTTGGCCATTGCCATCTTGTTTTTTTTTGGAGCCAGAAGTGACCGTATTTGGGAGAGGGGCTGGAGTTGTGGAGGAGGGAGGGGTGGATCTGAGTGAGAAACCAAGAACCCTATCTGCATACAGCCTGCCCCTCAAAGTGCTTGCCCTTAATCACGCACAACTTTATGCCTTAAAGAAAAGGTAAACAGGTGACTTAAAATAAAACTTCACTCCTGTATAGTTGTTACGAAGGGAGAAATTAGCTATAGAGACCAAAACCTGGCCTCCAGAGTCAGCCTCAAGCGGCCGATCAAGAACTGCATCTTTTAGCACTTCCGTGTTGGCTTTACTTTGCAGCCCCTGAGTTTGCCGCTTTGTTATGAGCTTGAAAGTGGTCCTTGTTCGACACACATCTTTAAAATGTGGAGATAGGTCTGGCTATTCAAGACTGTAACATTCAGGAAACGTTATGTTATTTAAAATGTAAAATCTTAACTCATTTTCCAAATCAATAAAACAGTGGTTACTGGACAATCAAACCTGCTATCATGATCTGAATTAGTGTCCTCATTTTTCATAATATATTTTAGGACTTAGGTGCTCTGTATAGTACGTTCTCTCACTGTCTTGCTAATTGTGCTCATGTGCTGTGGCTTTTGTTAATGTGATTTGCTTTGTGCATTTGTGTGTCTCTTTTTGGCTGTGTGTTATGTTTTATGTTCTACTTTTGTATAGTAAGTTTTTAATGTTTTTGTTATATGGTTAGGTTACTTTATTAATAGGCTTTAAATCTTGCTGTTTCTGCTATGTGCTTTGTTATGTGCTTTTGTCTGTGGTTATGTAATTACTCTGAGCTTACGTGCTTTCTATATATGTTTATGTGCCTTTCTATGGACATGCCATCAATTCGCTTTTATCCGTGCTTATGTGCTTTTGTACTTCTGTATGTTATTTTAATGCCTGTTCATATATATATGTATATACCATCAACCTGCCAGGGACTGCAGATGAAAATTAGCCTGTATGGCTAAATCTGGCATATTTACGTGACTTAAGTGATCATGTTAATTAATGTGCACTGTCCCTTCTTAAATAAAATAAATATAAACATAAACATAAGTCATGCTAATTATGCTGCCTTTTGTTCTCTCGTAACATTTTCACATCCAATGCATTTTGAATTGAAAAGATTGCAGGTTGGAGCCTTGACAGGTAATTAAATTTGCAATTTTCAGCTCACTGGTAAATAAGCTGCATTTATATAGCGCTTTTCTGGTCTTTGTGACCACTCACAGTGCTTTACAACACAAACCAGCATTCACACTGGTGGCAGAGGCAACCATGTAAGGTGCCACCTGCTCATCAGCAGTGGTAAACATTGGTGTGTGAGCCATTGCAATCAGCCCAAGGAGACTTTGACATGTAAACTGCAGGGGCCAGAGATCCAACCACTGACTTTCTGATTAGCAGATGACCTCTCAACCCCCTGAGCCTCAGCCGGTCCACAGCTAACTGGAATTCACTTTGACGATAATTATTTGCATGTATCATTGAGCCATGACATGAAATCCCACCTGCAAAACTTTTCCAACTATCCGCTGTTTTTTTATGTCAGCCACAAAGAAACCCTCCACACATAAACACTAACTCTCTGCTCCCCGAGCCTTCAAATGCGTCACAGTTAATGCTGTCTGAAGCTCAAAATTAAGAACCTTGAAAATCAGTCCTGCTGCTGATTACTCTGTTAAAAAAAAACACATACATGTATATGATCACAATTGATACAAAAATAGTTACGCAGACAATTTCAATTTCACCTTTGAACTGAAAATAGAAAAGAAGCAAAAGATGACAAAGGAGCAGCAAAATATGCTCAGTCTTCAAAATCGTTAAAACCATGAGTAATAGTGACTATCTCGATGTCTGGCACAAAAACAAAAAACAACAGCAATGCAGCAAAATAATGCTGCCTTCAGTTTTTGTCAATGAAAATCACACACACAACAGGCAACAAGGGACTCAGAACTCTTTGAGAACTTACTGAACTTACATCTGGCACGACAGCTATACAAGAACCGGGTAGTTTGTATCAACAGCCCCAGAGACGCATACTTCCATAATAACCCAGTACCTCTGCACAATACTAACCTGGTTTCAGACTTCTTAATCACACAAATAAATAGTTCAATTTTTTTAATGTAATTTGCTAAAACAGCTGGTCTCTGTAGTTTTAATCAAACAAACAGCAGGAACAGCCCATTCTCATTCCCAACTTGTCAAATACTGACGCTCTGTCAGTGATTTTGGTATCAGATCCCCACGCATATAGGCACCTTTGCAGTGATATAATACTCCAACGTGCAGCGTCAGTTTGTAACACCACTGGGCAGTGTCAGCTTGTAATGCCGCCTACGTAATATAAAGAGCTATGAAGTCCCTATAGGGCAAGTGGGAGGGGAGATGGATGGGGCAAACCAACCCTTTTCACCCAAGAGCCAGCTGTTTGCTTCCCATGGAAGTTTTAAGCCAAACATGTTTTTGTTTTTTTTTCTTAACCTAATCGCATGCTTTTGTTGCCTAAACCTATCCATGTGCTTTTGTTTCATGAGGAAATTAACACAGAAACCAGGGCCGTATTCACAAACATTCTGAGAACACTCAGAGAGCTCCTAACCTAGCCTAAAATCGTTTAGTAAGGAGTCCTAACTTGAGTGATTTAGAAAAGTTCTCATAGCAACTCTGAGCAAGAAAGAGACAGAAACTTTTACCTCAGTGTCAAGGTGTGGTTGACCCCATTGCTAGGTGTGATGCTTTCTTTTAACAGATGTGACTGGTTGTCAGAGACACACCCTTTTGTGAGCCTGCAAGGTGTGGACACCCAGTGGAAATGAAAATGAACTGCTGACTGTGAAAGTGTTGTCATTGTTAGTGTGATCACTTTGCCGATGGAGGGTTTAGACAGACTCAAGTCATCACTGCTGCACTGTTGCATTTTTTCAAATATCTTAGTGTTGTGATCATTTTATTTCTGGTGTTATAGCATTGGTAATGTGTGCGTATCCCTAGTGAGATCGACTGCACATATTATCACTGCATGATCTAATCTGTTGCATTTCATAAACTCACTGTCATCCAGTGTTTGGAGAATGTTTCTCCAACTTCTCCATCATTCCACCATTTTCTCCTCTGTTTAAGAAACTCTTAAAATACCTCCTCCCTGTTCCTAACAGTCTTTCACCTTAGGAGCTGTTTAAAAGGTTAAGACACTTTGTGAATAACTTTGATCTTTACAAGGACCTAGCCTTAACTTTAAGGGGAAATTCTAAGAAAACGCACAATTCTAAGAATTTTCTTAGAATTTAATCACAGGAGTAACTCTTAGTGCTAGGAAGTTTTGTGAATATGGCCCCAGCTGTTTCACCTACACTGTCAGTGTATTTTTAAAATACTGTATGCATCTTTCAAGCAGAAACTGTACATTTCCTGTGAAAACAGAAGTGTATTTTGAAAAGACACAATGCATCTAAAAAGTGAAAATGTCAAACCATCCCAGAATGCTAACAACAGATGCAGGAGGTTACCTAGCGTGTCATATTTAGACATGAAAGTCCACTGACAATGTG